TGTCCTGTTCAGCGCTACCGTCTGTACTTTTAATAATACCAAAATTCTTTATGGATCATCCATGGATCAGAGGTCTTTGAAAGCCAAGTTGGATCCAATATAGTTTGTATACCTCTTTATATCGTAAGATAATATAGATATTATTTAACGTCTATAAACGGCGTGTCGCTTTGGGCCATTCCACTTAATGTACACACCCCCCTGTGGACGAAGTCAATAAAATTTGAACCCCTAAGAAAAAAAGATCAAAGTGCCGACACAAACATTTTGCCTTACCCCTCGGAAAAAACGCAAAGATCAAAGGATGCCGATGCACACAACCCCTCAGAAACGGCTTTTTCAACCCCCCTCAGAAATTTTCGTCCACAGGGGGGTGTGTATATTAAATGGAATGGCCCTTTTCACACGGCAAATTCTTTCAAAACATAGTCCTCGATATAAACTCCTTCTTGCACGCAGGATAAGTTACATGTTTTCGTCGAATGTTTGCGTAGTCTGTAAGCGTGTGCTATAAAGTTTGATTCTCAATACGTTTTTAATGCTCCGCATAAAAACTGTTCATATATAATGGCAAATTTTCAACCTTTGTCAGTCTGTCCATAGGCAGCCCAGCAAAATGTGTAAAAATGCATTAAACGCTTAAAAATACGTATAAAGTTCGTCACAATTTGCTATCAAGCGATTTATTTGTGTAGCTCATTATACATGCAGATTCCGATGTTTACGTCATTGTATTTTCATATAGTATATTATACTATATGAAAATACAATGACGTAAACATCGGAATCTGCATGTATAATGAGCTACACAAATAAATCGCTTGATAGCAAATTGTGACGAACTTTATACGTATTTTTAAGCGTTTAATGCATTTTTACACATTTTGCTGGGCTGCCTATGATTGAACTATAAATAAACTGGAAGGCTAACTGCTATGATGAAGGCCTATGATTTGATGAAGCCAAAATAGTTTTTCTGAGTTATGAGCAGAAATACTTGACCCCAAACGTCGGGCTATATATCAAATTGAAGCTATTGAAAATTGCTATTCGGTGTGGAAATTTCAAGACTTCAGCGAAAAGAAAAATCTTTAAAAAATACAAAAACAACTGCAAAACGGCAAATTATCGGTAATTATGTTTGTACTTTTTCAATATTTCCCTTTTAGCTAAAGTCTTGAAATTTCTACACCAAATAGAGTTTTTCAATAGCTTCAATTTGATATATAGCCCAACGTTCAGTGTTGAGTATTTCTGCTCATAACTCAGAAAAACTAAAATGCACTGGCTTCAATTTCCCCCCCCCTGAGTTAGCCTTCCAGTTTATTTATAGTTCAATGGTATGGGCATGTTTACTTGAGTTATCGTCATAGATATAGGAGACCTAGATTGCTGACTCTAATGTTTTCTATAACGCACGAGCGTGGCACTCATGAGCATTCAAAATGGCGGCTCAACCGGGCAAAAATCATAGAGCGAGATAGGGAAAAAACATGTTTTTCGCATTTTGCGTCGTCCTACAGCTTCCGATCCCGTTCTATCACTTTATTTTGGCAAGAACTAACTGGTGTGAAGGTTTTGGATGAATATTTGTACAATTTAAGTTTAATAAAGACGAAATAATCGATCGCTAAATGTTATCTGAAAATCATCACATAGTCGGTTGAGCAGTTCGAGACATTTTGTTACAGAAAATAAAGGTTTTGGTTCTTTGGGTGCTGTTTTTCGCGAGTATCTCGGTTGGGATATATAACAGGGAATAATATTGTGAAGTATTTTGAAGTTAAAACCTATTTTACTTGATTTATTTGGTCTGCTGGTGCGAAAATTCTGATGCTCTGTTTAGTGTGACTTTGAGAACCTCCTTGCTGCTGCAGATGTCAAGGGATCTCAAGTCTATATGGCCTGGACAGTGAAAAGTGATGAATCAATCAGGTTTGTAGAGAGAACTAGTGACAGCGAAAGTTTTCAATGGAAACTAGTTTGAAGAAACTGACTAATTTGTCTGGTATGCATCAAAAACCTTCACAGTATCTAGTTCTCTCCAAGAAACCTGATTGATTCATCATTGATAATCAAAAATAGATGGGACGACATCTTCGTTTAGATATTTCTTGGATAAGTTGGATTGGCCTTTTATTTGATTGCTCTCCACAATCAACACTCTCCCCTTCAGGCACTCTCCCCTTGAGACAGCTGACTTAAGCATCAGCACTTTCCCTTGACGAGTAAAATTGTCTGGCGTTAGACAGAGTAAAATAATAAAATAGGGCACAAAACGACTCAATGGGTTAACTAGACACATGGGCAGATAGGCCAGTTAACCCATTAAGTGCCACTGCTCTCCCCTTGATGAGTAAAATTGTCTGGCGTTAGACAGAGTAAAATAATAAAGTAAGGCGCATTGCAACCAGTGGCGCCGGCAGGATATATTTTTTGGGGGGGCAAATCCAAGTGCCGAAGGCACGAGCGTTCTAGGGGGGTTGGGGGGTATGCCCCCCCGAGAAAATTTTGAATTTTGGGTGTCTAAAACCGCATTTCCTGCGTTTTGGAGGCACTTTAAGAGAAACATAAAGGTTTTAATAAATCACTTTTTTAGTAGATCGGAACATAAATGATCAGTTCCATACAATATATGAATCAAATGTATTTTTAATAAAACCAAGAATGAAATGAAGAATTTAATGTTATAATAAATATTTAGTACAAGTTCCATCTTCGGGGAGCTGCGTCGGTAAATCGTTCAACGAGTCCTTCGATGTCGAGGCCCCGACAAATGTCAGATTCCACGGACATGAGCATCAGCGATTCTAGTCGATCTTGCCTCATCGTCGACCTCAGGCGATTTTTTATTATTTTCAGCTTGGAAAATGATCTCTCAGCAGATGCTGATGTCAAAGGGAGAGTAAGGGCAATCTTAATAATTTTTGACAAATTGGGGAAGCATTCGGGTTCTTGAAGAAGTTCGCGGTATAAATCAACCAAAGACGGCTTTCGTTCTTTCGTTTCCTTGGCCAGGATATCTTTGATCATCTTCGAGGAACGAATTAATTTCATCTCCAGTTCAAGAGCATCAGCGTTGATGTCATCTGCGAACCAATCGGCGGCGTGTTTGACATGCTCGAAAGAATCAGGCGTCGTGATGCGTTTGGGATGAAGATATCCAAATCCCCGTAAGATGGATCGGTTTTCTGCATCGTACCTCGTCTCGATTGAATTGATCATGAGATCAAGAACCTGTGAAAACAGTAGTATAGTTAAAGATATCTGCAATTTAATACTGATCTGATAGAAAGTTTCGAACAGTGTGGGAGAGATAAAATTAAATGTTTCGCACAAATACTTACTGAAAAGTAGAACCCAACTCTAAATGTATCTTTAGGTTCAAGCCGCACAGCTGTCTCAGGATGGTCGTCCAGTCGTACCGGTATCTTCCTTTGACGCGTCTCCATCGGAGTTTCAATGTTGAGCTCTTCACATGTTTCAACAGTGGCAATCCAGAAAGTCTTGAACTTGTCCTCGGTACGAAGTTCTTCTATGGCAACAAGCAGATCTTCAACCCGGTCACAACCTGACACTACGTCGAGATCCTCTGATTGTAGTTTGTCTGATACACCTTTGCTGAGGTTAAGTACTTTGTCGAGAACCTGAAAAAGTATCAAATAATAGAAATATAACTCAAAATATATACGGAACGTTTTCAACTCAAAACCGAAAAAAAAACTTTTCATGGTCGTTTTCCCAATGCGAACCATACGATATAGTGCAATGTACTTAGAAAATGAAGTCCTTTATATACTGTAAGTATACTCACTTTCAATGATAAAACAAATTCAAAATCAATATTACTCAAAAGACCCTTTGCTTCAGCTGCAATCTTCGCCTTCGTCTCAGTTTCGTGGATGATTTTCAACGTTCCTACAATTGCCCCGATGGTCGCATTGAATGTGTTGATCGCATTTGCTCGGCAGGCCCAACGAGTTTCGCACAAGCTCTTCAGTGTACGAACTTGGAAACTCTTCGTAGAACCACTGCTTGCGTGGATCTCTGCTTGCTGCTGGGCGTAAACAGCATGTCGTTTCGTGCATGTTTGAATAAATACGTACAAGTTTTGAAGGGTTCCAAAGAAATCTCTTGCAGTGGTGTTGCTGGTCATGGCATCGACAATGACTAGGTTCAATACGTGTGCATAGCAATGGACGAACAAGGCGGATGGGGAGATTTCTTTTATCCTCGCTTGAAGACCTGTCCGTATGCCCGAAACATTACTTGCTCCATCGTAGCATTGACCTCTAAGACGAGTGACGTCTATGTCGTGGGATTTCAATACAGCGCAGAGTGTTTCAAAGAGCATTTCACTTGTCGTCTGATCTACAATCCTGAGAGCCAACAACTTTTCTTCGACATCTCCTTGATATACATAGCGTACGGTGATGGAAAATTGTTCGTTGTGGCTTGTATCTGGGGTTTCGTCAGCAATGACAGGGAAAAACTCAGCTTCCTTCAGCCGTCGGACAATCTCATCCGTTATGGCCGTCCCAATTACATCAATCATTTCATTTTGGATTTGATGACTTGTGTATTTTGTATTATCTGTTGAGATAACAACATTCAAATCAAACTAAAATAATATGTTATTGATTGCAAACTCCATGATCCTGAAAGATCATGGTTGGATTTACCAGATTATGTCAATCAGCCTGGTGAAATTAACCGGACCTATCACTGTAGCTCTGTTTAGAAATATTACAACGAACACTTTAGTAATGTAAGCAGGCCGGAATACTTTTAACTTCGCCATAGCGTGACCGCATGACATGTAAACCAGTTAACAGAGTTTTTGAATGAAGAATATTTATAAATCAGGAATCAAATAATTAAATCAAAGTTTCTGGCAAAGTTCCACAAAGAGCTGTGGAATGCACAAAACAGCTACACGAATAAAGTACAACATTAAATTAAAGTTATTTGGCCTAAACAATTGTCAGTATAGCCAATTAAATCACAAACCTTTAGCATTCTTTAAATGGAAGTCCATGATAGCATCATGTTTGGAAAAGTGCGCGATTATCTCTATGAAAACGCCTTTGTTCGTGGATGTTTGATTTTCCCGATGACCTCTAAATGGTAAGTTCAGTCTGCCAAGCAGCCTTACAACATCAATTATTCTCCCGATCACTGTACGTTTTCGTTTCACCTTAAAAGGACATTAATTTGGAATAATCATGCAATATATCAAACTATACGTATGCGTGCATTTTCATCTATAAAAGTGCTAAAATGTCGCTTATGATTGAAAAAATGCCAT